AGACATTACGCCCTAGGGGGAATGGCCACTCCACAATCCATTCTCCTCCATTCTTCTTGTGAAATTTTGGGCATGCACACACATGTGCCTGGTGTGATTTTCAAGCTGCTGGGTTCAGTATTCGAGCCATGGTCAGCTGTGTAGGATCCAGTGCCTTAACCACCATGCCACCTGCTGGGCTGCTGTGATTTCTTGATTTTCATCATCAGTGCCTTCCTATTGTGACAAGATGGCTTCCTTACCTCTTTTGTCCCTCTCTTTCTGCATCCTTCTAGTATGGTTACCAGTTTTAGTCTCTGCTTAGTCAAATAATATATTATAATTATATTTTTCTCCTTGAACAATTGTTGTCTAGAGTTAATAATTGCCTTTTAGAAGTTTGATGTTGGGGACAGCAGGTGGTGTAATGGTTACATTGCTAGAATCCCACGTAGTTGGCCATAGCTCAAGTCCCAGACCTGGTGGGCTTAAAACTCATTCTGCGTACTGGGCACGTGTGCGTGTGTGCCCAAAATCCTGAGAGGAAAATGGAGGAGAAGGGACTGTGGCATGGCCATCCTCCCTGGCTAGTGATTTCTCTCTGTCTCTTGGGTGAGCAGATGTGCCCTATAGAAAAATAAAAATAATGATAATCTGTACATAATGATTTGACAAACTTTTTTTTTTCTTAGAGATTTTTGCTACAGAGTGCATGCACTCACCAGAGAGACAGAAAGTGAGAAATAACCCCCCCTCCAGGGGGCATGGCTACGCTGCAGTCCTTTTTCCTCCATTTTTCTCTCAGGATTTTGGGTTCACACGACCCGGCGTGAGTTTTAAGCCACTGGGTCCAGGATTCAACCCATGGTCGACTACGTGGGATTCCAGTGACAGAACCATTATGCCATCTGCTGGTCCCTCGACAAACTCTTAGAAGGCATCTTTTGCATCCTGCTGGTCGTGGAAATGTTTTCCCTGTAAAAAGTCATTGAGATTCTTGAAGAAACGGTAGGTTCAGTAGGGCACACTCCTGGAAATGGTTAGATAGGAGTGAAGTTTTAGAATTTTGCTGCTCTGAAATAGATTTTGTGTTTTCCTCAGGGTGCCCCGTACGTTGGGTTTCCGACTTCCTGGTTAATCCTATAATTGTCTTATTGCCCATATCTTTGGGCACTCTTGTTTGTTTTTGTTTTGGGTTGCTTTTGTTTTAAATGCTACTTTATTGGGATTATTTTGGTTTTGGGTTTTATTGCCCAGTCTTTCTTTCTTTCTGTATTGGTTACTTCTGCTGTCATATCTTTTTTTTTCTAATCAGAAAGAGAGAGAGGAAAAGTGGGAAATCACCCCTTGGTAGAGTGGTCATGCTGCAATCCCTTTTCCTTCAGTTTCCTCTCGGGGTTTTGAGCACACACGTACGCTTGCCTGGCATGCTGGTGCGTTTTCCTTTGTCGTCTTTTTTTGGAGAGGTTTTTGCTCTAGGGTGCATGCGCTCACAGGAAAGACAGAGAGAGACAGAGAGATAGAAAGCATGAAATCACCCCCCAGAGGGGTGGCCATGATGCAGTCTCTTCTCCTCCATTCTCCTCTCGGGCTCTTGGGCACGCACACACACACGCCCAGCATGAGTTTAAGCCACTGGGTCCGGGACTCGAACCATAGTCGACTACATGAGAGTCCAGCAACATAGCCATTATGCCAACTGCTGGTCCCAATGATGGTGTTTTTTTTAGGATGAACGTCTGGGACTTGAACCATATAGTTAGCCACGTGGTAGATCCAGCTGCCTAAACTACCATGCCACTAGCTGGCCCTGGTGCCATATCGTTAATATTTAAGAACTTGTTAATATTTTCTGATTTTTAAAAGTAGCATCCTATTTTTGTCTAAAAGAAACACTATCCTGGGAACCAGCAGTTAACGTAATGGCTATGTCGCTGGACTCCCACGTAGTCGACCGTGGTTCGCGTCCCAGACCCGGTGGCTTAAAACTCACGCCGGGCACGTGTGCGTGCGTGCCCAAGATCCTGAGAGGAGAATGGAGAAGGGATTACGGCGTGACCATCCCCCCTGGGGGGTGATTTCTCGCTTTCTGTCTCTATGTCTCTCTGTGTGTGTGTGTCTGGCAAGCGCACGCGCCCTATAGCGAAAATCTCTCCAAAAAAAAAAAAAAAATAAGAAACACTATCCTCTGAGTAGATCAATTATAGTAATATTTGGAAGGTTTTCCCCTGCTGTATTGTCTCATTTTCATTTGCTTGGGTTTGTTTGTTTTGGTTCTATGTTTTGTTTGGAAGCTTTGTTCAAATGTCTGATAATCTTTGGCTATCTCTTGTTGGTGTTCTAGAAAAAGCTGGGGCCAACCATGGTGTGGCGGTTAAGGAACTGGATCCCACATGGCCAACTGCATAATTCGAGTCCTAGCAACTTGAAAAACACCGGGCACATGTGTGTGCCCCAGATCCTGAAAGAGAAAAATGAAGGGATTGCCATGTGACTGTGCCCCGTGGAGGGGGAGTGTGCTTTCTTTTCTCCTCCTTCTTTTGTGGCTCTTTCCAGCAAATGCATTATTTAAAGAATGGCAAAGCCTAAAGAAAGAAAGAATAAGCTGCTCAAAGGTTGATGAGAGGTCTGGTGTGGGTTCTGGTTGTCAGTAAATCTGTGGGATCATTCAGTTTCTCCAGAGAAGCCTCTTCTGAACTCTCCCAGCAGGTTCGAGCCCATGTCCTCAAGGCGTCCCGGGGAGAGCCGCTGTAGGAGCAATCTCTGCCCTGCCTCTAGCTGGCGCTCGCCCTCCCTCTTCACTGCCTTTGTCTCTGGGCTCTCCAGGCTTAGCCTGCACAGAGTGCTCATGTCCATGGGACTGCATCCTGCGGGTCTGATTCTCCTTGCCAAGGATGCCAGTTCTCCCCTGGTTTTCGGTCTACGCTGTTTGGAGGGGGAGCGGGGAGCCTCTCTGCGATGCTCTTTGGTGTCCTCTACTCTGCTGAGTCTCTTCTGTTTCTCTCTCCTTTCCATATCTTCTTTTTACAAAAAATTTGCTATAGGATGTGTTTGCTCACCAGAAATAGATTGGGGGTGAAATCACCTCTGGGGGATAGCCACATGCAGCCCCTTCCCCTCCGTTCTCTCGGGATCTTGGGCACACACATGTGCATGCAGTGATTTTCGGGTGACTGGCCCTCCATCTCTTCTAAACCTTGCTCTTGCCTTCCACTGTCTGTTTATGGGGTGTCCT